TACAATTGAAACAAAGGACAGTAAATAATGATAGGAATGCAAGCTTGGGACAATGGAACGCATATCTCTGCTAGGAGAGAGTTCCAGAGGGTGGGGGCTGCCAGGCTGAATCCCCTGTCATGTGTGTTTGGATGCTGGTACGTGGGATCGTGATCAGACTCTATCTGAGGATCATAGTATCAGGATGGAGCATTGGAGCTTGGTTTGGGTGAGACCAGAATGAGATTGGGGAATCCACTACACATACAGATGTACTTTTTGCTAAACTTAAGCTATATTTGTCGATATCATGAGGTGTAAGTTAGGTAAACGGACCCTTTGCAGGTCAAACAGCCTCCACCAACCTGAGATTTCCCTCCCGTGCTCTCTTGAACCATACTGCGAGACATGGAGCAGCTGATTGCGAAACACTGGAAAATTGCTCCAAAAGAGTTACTCAGACCCAGGGCCATTAGTTCCTAGATGATAAGAGATACACAATTTTTGTACAGTGCACTGATTTTAAAACATCAGGTCATAGCTGTATCCATCTTTCACCTCCCTACCTGATTGCTGTCCACCTTGTATCCATATTTTAGGGCGAAAATTCGTCCCAGTGAGATGGCAATGCCGTAGCCAACCACAGACAGAGCGAAGGCGTCCCCTATCACCTGAGCAAACAGAGAGACGTCTGGAAAAACAGGTGGCTGGAGACTGGTAGAAGGGAGAATGAAAGTAGAATAGATGATCCATTTTGAACACTTTCTTAAAAACACAGATTCCTGTATATCTGCTGTGGGTTGTGGTATATATGTTTCTCACCCTGAGGGAATGAGTCCCACCACATCCACTCCATATTTCTCCTCCAAGTTCACTTGCCAGGAGATGACTGTACCAATAACGACCTGAAGAAGCAAATAAGAGATACATGAGTGTGTGTGTGTGTGTGCATGTACATTTTTGAAAGGAACTAAATAACGTTGGAATGAATGATGAGTACATGTACTTATCCCTGGATACTCACAGCGAGCAGCTCCACAGGTATAGGAACAGGTAGTTTTTTACTCAAGTATGCATTGAGCTCCTTAGCAAGAATAAGGCAGACTATGGTGACAGCACTAACCACCAAAGTACCAATGTTTGTTTGTGGAATGAGATAACACAACTCTAGCATCGTCTGGAGAGAGATAAAGAGCAGGATTATTGGTTAAATGGAGGAATGAAAGTGATGCGTTTATTTACATTAAAATCAAGCATGAAAACAGAAAGTCCATATTATATTCTGTCAGATCTGCTGGATATAATTATACGACAGAGGCAGTGGGGTTCTTTTATGTTGTGGTGATCAAAATATTCATATACAGTAAGAGGGCCCAGGAATGAAAGTTCTCTGCCGCTATAACAGATTTCCATGGGTTGAATTCCACAGAGGGAGAGGGCTCTGATCTGCCTGCAGGGCTCGTCTTTGTGGGTATTTCCTACAAAGCTGACTTGAGAGCGGAGCCTGCATCGAAAGCAACTAGACACAGAAGCCCTGCAGGCAGACAGTCAGGAGGCCTGTATAAACCGAGTGTAGATCTGAAGGGGAAAAAGCATTGTGTGACACTCTGAGTGAGCTTGGCAGCTTTATGAAACCGTCATTGAAGTTATTTCAAAGGTAAATAGACATAAGGTGAGCAAAATGCAAATGTTCACATTGACTAATGGGCATGTCCTGTATGCTTTTTTGTCAGCTGCCTCTGCCTTTTTACATGAAAACCTATTCATAGTGAATGCACGGTGAACAATGTGTGCACTCTAAGTGCAATGGCACCCATAGCAGTGGTGCAGTGACTAATATTAATAATGGGATGAATCTCAGAGGGTCGCCACATTAGTGGACTTCAACAAATGTCAAAATTAAATGATCAAAAATGCTTTATAATAGTACTGAAGCAATCAATTAAGAAATTAACCAGCTCATCCTTTGAAAATCAGTTACAGCCATAGAAATTCAATTGTTATCGTCATTCTGTGCTTATTATGACTTATCTGTGAGTTTTTGTTTATCAGACAAGAGAAGGAGCTTCAAACATCTTTTTTACTTTTTCAGGTCTAAGCAAAACGTTAATGTCAGTGCTTGTGTTCTTCCTTACATATATCAATGACAAGGGTCCGCTGTATCTCACAGGGCTGATGCCGAAAGTGTATTTGAGCTGGGACACAATGACGTGGATGGCGGCTCCAGTTGTGTAACCTCGTACCAGAGGCTCAGATAGGTACGTCACCACAAAACCAAACTGGACCAGACCGAGCAAAATCTACAGAGCATACACAGAGATTGAAACACAAGGAGGTTCACGGTGGCTGTTTACATATATTTGCAATCCTATACAAAATGTATTGTAATAATCAGAAAAAATATTTATATTTGACACTTCTGAGTTTCTAATATTTCACTGTCACTAGTGAATAAGAGGCCTCCAGTATGATGCAAAAACAAAGTTAACATTTATAGAAATAACAGTAGCATTGTAATATTGCAAAAGGAAAGCTGTGCCCACATACACCAATCATTCCATCTTTTTAATTATAGCAGAATTGACATTTTAGCCTGGGAACATATAGACTCCTACGGGATAGATAAAAATATCTAGCATGATGCAGCTCCCCTTTATGCTTTTAAAGTGATCATAACTGAAATTAGTTTTATAAAAGTATTTGCTGAAATGTACTGGCAGGGTAAGCTTTGAGCATTTGTACAGTATTTTATTTACGGATGGCTCTGAATTGGGACGTGAGCTGTCTGTCTATACAAACAACATATGTTTACAATTAACTACAGAGCAGATTGTCATTGTCCCTGAACATTACTCCTGCAGGTCTCCCAAATGGCCCACTTCCACTCATTTGATATTTACCTGAAATAGTCCAGTTAGGAAGGTGACAGCTACAGCCACTCGGACCCTCGCTGCATCCCGGGACATGATGTCAACTATGCTGGAGTTTGTCACATTGTCCCATATCATAAAGTCTGAATCCGGGGCTAATCGATCCGTCACTCCTCCTATCATCACACTTAACACTGCAAATGTCCCTGAAGATGAGAGATAGAGACATAAACACGTATCACATAGTCCGAGAAACAATTTCCTCAACCCAGCCAAAGTTTTCCTCTGATTCCTGAGTGATGGTTTCTTACATACAGTATATGTGACATCTGCTGAAAGGTAATGAAGTAGCCATTGTCCCCTGTCTGTAAAAAACAGTGGCTATTGGATATTGATATTGTTTTTAGACCAGTCTTCAATGACTGCTTCCGGATAAGCTGAAATGTATCAAAGGGCTGGCCATAACATTAACTTCAATAATTCTTATGTGGGAGAGTCCTGTGTAAATATGCTGTGTAACATTAAGGATAAAGAAAAGTATGAAATAGGGAAAACACTCTTTCTCTACATCAAAAATCTGACCAACGCTGTCATGATGACTGTAAGATACAACAGTCAATCAAATCTGATCAGATCTTTTTATTTCCAACTTTAATGCTGATTCTTCACTCAAGAGTATTGAAATGATAACAGCAAATGATCCAATTTTCAGATGACAAAACAAGTATGTCTACGAAATTACATCTCTAGTTATCAACACAAGGACATATAGCATGCTAAAGGTTTTCGATTTAAGAACATTAATTGTATACTATGCTTAGAACCAGAGCCTTGTAGAGAGCCCAAAAATTATTGCTTCAGTCTATTACTAAGCCTGCCCATCAGTTCATTGAAGTGTGCAGATGCAACACTGTGCTGAGGTACAAACCTATTGAGATGTGCTTGGATGTGCCGAAGACGAAGTAGATGAGGACGGGGTAGAAGGAGGAGTAAAGGCCAAAGACTGGAGGAACAGATGCCAGCAAGGCATAGGCCATACCTACAGGGAAAACATGAATATTTGTTACATTACAGCGAAGAGTTATATTACAGATGGTATCATATATAGGGCAATGTAATGGGGAAACACAGCAATTCAAACACAATAGATTACCATTTAAAATCAAAATCACTTCTATCCCTCCAACCCCTTATTTTCCTCTCTAATCTCCGAACCTCCATCCTCACCCTGTGGCAGCTGCATGATCCCCACACTGATCCCAGAGATCAGGTCACCAATGGCATTTTCTCGGATGGGGTAACAAGGCAGCCATGATAAGAGAGGAATACGCTGCAGCAGGCATCTCTTCAAGCTGGGAGCAGAACACCTGAGTTTGTATGTCAGAAAGAGCAAAAGAAGAGAGAGAGAGAAATATGTCTTTGAGATATGCTTTGATATCAGTGGTGCAGTATTCTCAAGGCTGACCTCCAGACCTTTTGGTTTTGTGCAGCCTTCTTGCAGATTTATAAAAGATTATTGATATTATATCCTCTTTGTTTGTATTTAACTGTTGGCTTTTTTTTTACACAGAACTAAATTGTAGCTGTGGATC